GTCTTTGTGGTTTATTCACATATTAATGAAAAATCATTTCCATATATTTTCTCTTCCTGTGTTGTTTTTCTTTTAGTAACTCCTTTAGGGCACACTTAACTCTGGTATCAGTTTTCAAAAGAAACTGCTCACTCAGAAGCTCAGTCTGTATGGGTCTGGGTCTGAGCTTCTGAGTAAGCAGTGATTGTTCAATCCAATAGAAACAGATTAAACATTTGTGGACTCACTATAATGAATAATCTAACTCCAAGGGAAACACAAATGTTTCTTTTGCTGATAAGTTATATATAACTGTGCTATTATAAGTGTACACTTGTATATCAATATTTTGTGTGTTAAAGTAGTCAAATTATCATTGGATAATTGCAGCATATATCAGGCTTTTTTCTTTGGCATTTTGCATGGGGTCCTTTTTATTCTAAACTTCCTGATGTTAACTTTAAGTACAGTCATTTTCTCCAATGTAAGGCTTTTACTATGATAAAATGGAAACGATCTCCATTGGTTTCAATATTATAATGGCATTGGACCATTTTTACATTTTCAGAAAAGAAAACTCACAGCAATATACATTGAAAAACAATTTTCAATCACATTCAGAATGTGCTAAGTTTTGTTTCAATCTGACCAATTTAGAAAATATGAATGTCTTTTAAATAAAATAATCTCTTTGTTTTGCTTCTGTGTCTCATATATTAGTTTTTATCTGAAAGGTGTAGTAATAAGAGGGCCATCACTGTCCCTGTGAAGTAAATTGAGATTTTTTTTATTTTCTTTTTTAGTCATGTGACTGTATTTCTTAACTAGTGTGACCAATGTGGTTTAAAATAAAAATTATGCTATTACTAATGAAAAGTGTGTTGGCAGCTATGTGCTGGTAATAGCCAAATGTCACAGAGCACTCATTTTCCTCTTGATTTGGTGATTGTGAAAAAGTTTTAATAAAGAAAATAATGGAATGGTTAATGTTACAACAAAGTAAAGTTTTACTTTGATTTACTGAAAAGATACACAATAATAAGCAGCCAATTCATTATTAGTCACAAAACATAGCAGTTAGGCATCAAATAATTTTTCTTCTATCTTTGGAAGCTAATCAAGATTTCAGGCACAATACAGGTTACTGGAAAAAACAACAACCCACATTTTACAAAATTAATGGTAAATTAGATTTAAGCAACAGTTTCAAAATGGAAAAAAGAAAAAGAGTTTGAGAAAAGACGAGATATCATAACACTAAACAAACTGGAAGATGTTTCAATAGCTTTGTTATTCACAAATTTGACTAAAATAGTGCATATTATGATTATCAAGAGATTATCATTTACTACTGAACTAGAAGCACAACATAAACTATGGTTCTTAATAGGATTTTAATTATATGTTTCATTAAAGTTATTGGTAATCCAAGTTTATTACTTCTGCAACATTTGAGTAGACAAACACATGATGCAAGTGCGCCCCCCTGTGGCCACAGACTAGTTTGTAAGACTGTCAGAAAAGACCTACGTGGAAAGAGAGCCTTAACTGGGTCTATTCTCTAGTGAGCACTTACTCCATCCCAGGCAGAGGGCTATCTCTCCTGTTTTTAAAGTTAATCAAAGGTAGAAGATTCATAATTTCTCTTACAGTTCCTACAAATATTTTATTTTTAGTAGCCATATATACTAATCAACATATCCAGCTCTGATCCTGAGGTGGTGTAACATAGTAAAAACACATAAATCAACAAAAAGCACTTTTCCTCATATACATATTGTTAGATTAAAAGTCAAGCCTGAGTGATTCTCTGCAAGTACCTTAAAATACATTTTGTGATTAAATAGGATAATGGGTCAAGGAAAACATTGTAGTAGGCAGATCCATGACCTGGAAAAGTAGTTTGTCCATTTGTGTCATGTATGTAAAAATTGATATCTACACTAATAAAAGACAAAGATGCTAATTGACCGTACCTTCGCCATGCCCAAGCCACGCCCACCAGCCAATCAGAGCGACTGTATGCAAATTAACCCAACCAAGATGGCAGCCGGCAGCCACGGAGCTGGAGCAAGCAGGAGGCTTGGTTGCCCAGGGGATGGAGGAAGCCAAGCTTTCTGCCTGCCCTGAGCTGGCTGTGGCCTCCACTCATGGCAACAAAGTTTCAATTATAGAAGACAAATAAATCCCAGATACCTGCTTCCAGCCAGCCTCCACTGGGAGCTTGGGTGGCTGGGGGCTGTGGCCAGCCTGCAAACAGCCATCAGCCCCTCACCCAGGATGGCCACACCCTCATGGGGTGAGGGTCCCCGCTGGGGGGCTTGGCCAGCCTGCAAACAGCCATGCTTTGAGAATTGACTGTTAGTGCATCACAGCTGCCAGTTCCTTGGAAAACTGCCCTCCAACCAAGATTGAGTGCCATAGGGTACAAAAAAAAACATGTTCTAAAACAAGTCTACAAATCTGTTGAGTTTTTTCCTTCCTTTTTCTTTTCCTTTTTCCTTCCCAGCACTGAAGTCTAGAACAAATTCATATTTTTAAATGTAAATGAGTCTCAAAAATAATACTCAAAACACTATTTTTGGAGGGCGGGGGCATTCCATGATTGTTTGTATTTAGATTCTTACCAAGGGTATTTTATTGATTTTTTTAGAGAGAGGAAGAAAAGGAGAGAGAGAGAGAAAGAAACATCCAATCTGTTGCCTCCTGCATAAGCCCTAACTGAGTATCAAACCCGAAACCTTTTGGCTCACGGGACAATGCTCTAACCAATGGAGCCACCTGGCCAGGGCCCTCGGTGCCTTTCTTTATTGGGATCCTGGCCCATCTGCCTTGAGGGTTCTAATGAGCAGAGGAGGGTGCTGGGAACTGCATGGGGCCACAGCAGGAGGAGCAGCAGGGGGCTCCCTGGGGGGGTGGAGGTGCCCAGCAGGCTCCGCAGCCCTGCCCTGACGAGGGTCACCAGGCGGAGCAACAGGTGTGGGCCAGACCTTGGTGAAGACTCGCCCCGGCTCTGATCAGCTGTCTCCCCATGAGATCGACCATGTCCCTTGTGTCTCCTGGGCTTTGCTGGGTTCTGTGCTTGGGGTGAACATGCTCCATCTGAAGATACTTGTGAACACTGGTTTAAACGCTTTAAAAGTGATGATTTCTATGTTGGTCTCCAAACTTTTTCGGTTGACCTGGACATTCTTTGTCTTTCACATAGAAATCGTCACCATAAGCTTCCTGAAGTATACGATAACTTTCAACAGCACTTTTCTTCAAAATAAAGTAATGAATTAAAACTTCCCGCAAATGCTCTTTTTTTGGCATGAAATTTGACATTTTTAAGCTAAGACACATAGGTGTCATGAAAACGTCCAACTGGCTGTTCAATAAAATTGAAGAGATGGTATGAAGGAAGAGTGGGAAAATAATTGTATTAGTAAGATTTTTAAATGAAGCTACAACATTGGGCATAACCTACAACTTCAATTTGCCATTTATTTTCTATGCATTTGAGAGTCGTTTATTTTTAAAATGGAGACTATAATCTCACAATCCAGTGTACAGTTGCAATGTTTTAATTATATATTGGAGGAGTTGGGGGGAGGGGAGGTTATTTCCTAACCCTGTCTTTAACTCTTGAGTTTTTTAACATAAATAAATAAATAAATAAATAAATAAATAAATAAGAAAAAGAAAAAAAAACATGTTCTAAAACAAGTCTACAAATCTGTTGAGTTTTTTCCTTCCTTTTTCTTTTCCTTTTTCCCTCCCAGCACTGAAGTCTAGAACAAATTCATATTTTTAAATGTAAATGAGTCTCAAAAATAATACTCAAAACACTATTTTTGGAGGGCGGGGGCATTCCATGATTGTTTGTATTTAGATCCTCACCAAGGATATGTTTATTGATTTTTTAGAGAGAGGAAGGAAGGGAGAGAGAGAGAGAGAGAGAGAGAGAGGAAGGAAGGGAGAGAGAGAGAGAAACATCCGATCTGTTGCTCCTGCACGAGCCCTGATCGAGTATCAAACCCGCAACCTTTTGCCACACAGGACAATGCTCCAACCAATGGAGCCACCTGGCCAGGGCCCTCGGTGCCTTTCTTTATTGGGATCCTGGCCCATCTGCCTTGAGGGTCCCAATGAGCAGAGGAGGGTGCTGGGAACTGCATGGGGCCACAGCAGGAGGAGCAGCAGGGGGCTCCCTGGGGGGGTGGAGGTGCCCAGCAGGCTCCGGAGCCCCGCCCTGACGAGGGTCACCAGGCCAAGCAGCAGGTGTGGGCCAGACCTTGGTGAAGACTCGCCCCGGCTCTGATCAGCTGTCTCCCCATGAGATCGACCATGTCCCTTGTGTCTCCTGGGCTTTGCTGGGTTCTGTGCTTGGGGTGAACATGCTCCATCTGAAGATACTTGTGAACACTGGTTTAAACGCTTTAAAAGTGATGATTTCTATGTTGGTCTTCAAACTTTTTCGGTTGACCTGGACATTCTTTGTCTTTCACATAGAAATCGTCACCATAAGCTTCCCGAAGTATACAATAACTTTCAACGGCACTTTTCTTCAAAATAAAGTAAGGAATTAAAACTTCCCACAAATGCTCTTTTTTTGGCATGAAATTTGACATTTTTAAGCATAAAAATATCTATGATGTTAACATCTTCAGAAAATTTGACATATGAAGTTTTGAAGCTTGTTATCAACACAAAAAAATAGCATACATATCAAATCGCATATATATCAACATATGTGTAACTCCATCTATTGAAAAAAATCCTTACTATTAACCGGTCCACCCAGTAGGTGTTCGATAAATAACACAAGAAACAGAGCATTCAATCACACATGAATCCTAAAGACCTTCTATGACCATTTCGCAAATGGAAAAACAGAGGCCCAGGGAGGCATGAACGTGACTGGCCCAAGCCACCTGCTGGTTGCTGGCAGAGCTGGGCCACCACCCCTGAGTTCAGCGCTCTCTCCTCAGTCAGCTGTACTGAAGACCCCCTCAGGGTCTCCCTGTCTCTAGCCCCATACCCTTGGCTCTGTCTCTGCCCAGGCCCCGCCTGTCTTCCCAGTCCCCAAGGAGGTCAGGCAGGGAGGACGCTCACCAGCAGGAGCATCCCGGGGTGGGGGCAGTAACAGCCAGGCAGGCAGCTCTGGTTAGTCCTTCCAGGGGCATTGAGCTCTGCACAGGAGGCAGGGCCCTGGGCACAGTCCAGCCACTGCTTGTCGCTGGGACATACACCAGGCATTGGGCCTGAGGACACAGAAATTGACAGCCCAGCCCAGACTCACTCAACTCTCCCCTGGGCTCCCAACCTGGGAGAGGTACTAGCTCCCGGTACAGCCGGGGAGGTCACAGGGCTGCACAGGAGCTCAGGGAGAGGGGTCCCTAGGGTGACAGGGAGGGGTTGACAGGGCCCTGGGTCAGGTGGGGATGAGAACTGAGGGCATGGGTGCAATGGAGAGGTGAGTCCCCAGGGCCCTCACCTGCACAGGGCTGCAGGCCACAGGTGGAAAAGTCCACAGGGCTGTTCGGGCCACTGCCGCGGGTGCGGTTCCGGAAGCCACCACCACAGGGCACGGAGCACGGAGACCAAGGGCCCCACTCCCCACTGGGACCTGGAGTTGCCCCTGGTCACTGTGGGCCCTGCCCTCTGACACCCAGCCCACCTTCTCCTCCCACCTACACAACTGGGCACTTTCTCCTCTGGATCCCAGACACTCTAGATCACCCCCTCCCTTCCCTCATCCATCCCTAGGGGACCTCACACCTTCTCTGGAGGCTCTGGGATTTGGCCTGAAGCAAGGCTGGCCTCAAGGGAGGTCCCCTCTCAGGGCTCCCTGGGGACATCTTTGTGGCATCTCTTAGGGAGGGCCCTTGGACCTCTCTTGGGGTGCACAGGGAGCGGGGGGATTTGACTGGAAGTGTTCTCATCTCCTCTCTGGAGGGTTCCTGGACCTCAGTCCCAGCACTTACCTTGACATGGCCGCAGGCTACAGAATTCAGCCTCCATATGGGGGCCCTAGCATGCAGCACCCACAAAGGCTGCCGGGGGCGCAGTGCCTGCCCGGAAACGCCACCGGATCCCTACGTTGCAGCTGCAGCTGCAGAGACTCCACTACTATTAACCAGTACACCCAGTAGGTGTTCGATAAATAACACAAGAGAACAGAGCATTCAATCAGACATAAATCCTAAAGACCTTCTAGGCCTATGACCATTTCACAAATGGAAAAACAGAGGCCCAGGGAGGCATGAACGTGACTGGCCCAAGCCACCTGCTGGTTGCTGGCAGAGCTGGGCCACCACCCCTGAGTTCAGCGCTCTCTCCTCAGTCAGCTGTTCTGAAGAACCCCTCAGGGTCTCCCTGTCTCTAGCCCCATACCCTTGGCTCTGACTCTGCCCAGGCCCCGCCTGTCTTCCCAGTCCCCAAGGAGGTCAGGCAGGGAGGACGCTCACCAGCAGGAGCATCCCGGGGTGGGGGCAGTAACAGCCAGGCAGGCAGCTCTGGTTAGTCCTTCCAGGGGCATTGAGCTCTGCACAGGAGGCAGGGCCCTGGGCACAGTCCAGCCACTGCTTGTCGCTGGGACATACACCAGGCATTGGGCCTGAGGACACAGAAATTGACAGCCCAGCCCAGACTCACTCAACTCTCCCCTGGGCTCCCAACCTGGGAGAGGTACTAGCTCCCGGTACAGCCGGGGAGGTCACAGGGCTGCACAGGAGCTCAGGGAGAGGGGTCCCTGGGGTGACAGGGAGGGGTTGACAGGGCCCTGGGTCAGGTGGGGATGAGAACTGAGGGCATGGGTGCAATGGAGAGGTGAGTCCCCAGGGCCCTCACCTGCACAGGGCTGCAGGCCACAGGTGGAAAAGTCCACAGGGCTGTTCGGGCCACTGCCGCGGGTGCGGTTCCGGAAGCCACCACCACAGGGCACGGAGCACGGAGACCA